AGTTGAAGTCCACTCATCTTAAAGTGGCCAAGTTTGGACAACACTGGCTTAATAGCTCTCCATGGCTCCTGCATGACGAATTGCACTGCCCTTTTCTATGCTCTGATTTTAGGAAATGACAGATGAGATTCTTTTCCCCCCCTACAATGTATCTGACGCCACAAGGTTTCAACTGCTAAACAACTTCCTGAGATATTTCCAGCCTCTTTCCTGCATTTTCTATTAGCGGGAGAATCAGTAGGTACAGTCCTTCCTTCAAAATTTCTTATCAATGCATCAGTAATTGCAATACACAAGCATATTACCTCACCTTTTTGATCATGCAAAGTACCATTTTAAATAATTATTTTGCTTAATGAGGTGTGGGGCAGGGGAGGGGGGAGAAACATGGAATCTGCTTAGAAGCCAACAATATTACCGTTTGGGTTTATCTCGTGCTGGACAGAACTTTCCAGCTCAAGAGACTTGCAGAGACTTAACTAATGTGTCTCTAAAAAAATTGAAAATGGTAAAAATAAATAAAAATACCCTACATTTGGTATTTCAAGATCAGCCATACTTTGGCCTATGAAGAAAGCTGAAGGACGGATGCTGTGGTCAAATGCTGGGCAAAAAGTTTTCTAGAAGAAACTAGCAGGGTCAAGAGCAAGACTAATAAATGCACGTCCTTCTCACAACACATCATTAGGTTATGTAATTTATTGCTATAATTTCCAGATGGCTTTGAAAAATAAGGAACAAATACAGCTATCTGTAGTAGAACCTTGGAAAACAGCAGAAGCTTCTCAATTTACAGATATAAGCAAATATTCAGATTATCAATTATTCTAAAATTAACAAACTTTGTTAGAGATCAACAGAACTTGTGCAACAATGATTTTACAGAAAAATGTTAATTATCTAACCATTTTTGGAATAACACATTCTAAGAGAGGATTCAGTCATTTGTCTTTTTTCAGTTATAATCAGGACTGTGTTTACATTTTTGTACTTTTCCTTTTTATGTGAACTTATCCATTTTCATTTATATAGTCAATAAGAAATAAATGGACAAATACATGGAGAACATGTCTATCTGCAGTTATTAGCCAGATATATTTTGAAAAATCACATGCAGGAGGATAATAGGAAAGATCTATCATATTAATCATACTATGTTTATGAACTTCTCCAAATCCAGATAAGCATACTGGACTAGATGCACTTCCGGTAGCATTCATATTATTAAACAGAAGAAGTAGAATGATAAATCATGGATGCTAGTAATAAATTTCTAGGTAGCCCAAAGACAAAGGTTTGGCATTTCCTCCAACCCTGCAGAATAACTTTGATTCATCTCCCAAGTCATACAATCTACACAGGCAGGCCTAGTGAACGCACACCTGTAATCACGTTGCACACCAACACAGGTGGACACTCCATGAGAGGCCCCAGTTCCAGAAGAGAGTCAGCTACTTACCCATCCTTCAAAGCTGTCAGAGGACCCAGTGCTATGAAGCAGATCATGAAAGGGCACAGTGCAATTGGCCACAAAGTCATCATAGCCAATGGGGGTGCCATGGAAGACTGCCAGCTCCAGCTGGCGCCCATCGTTGACAGGGGCAGAAAACTCCTCATTGTAAGTAGGCTTGTTAGTCTTCTGCTTGGTGCTGGTCTGTCCCACACGTACCTGGTCCACGCTCACTGTGATGTAGGGGTCCAGCAGTTGGTGTCCCTTTTTGAACAGTGAATGCCGGAGTGACCAGCGGGTGGGCTGGAGCCCCACGGCCTCCCCAATGCGCACTTTCATGTACCCATTAAACTTCATCCCTCTGGACATGGCAGGTTCCAGCTAAGTCAAGAGAAGGAGGCTTCCTCCCTTTCAAATCAGAAAAGTCAGGATGGGCTCTCCCGAGTCCCAGCTGACTTGGAACCCCGCAGTCCTCAGGGTACAGGGCAGCCCAGGTCCCCCAGTTGCTGGCCCATGCTGGTGTGTATGCACCAACCCCAACTCAGTCCCTTTCTGCCTTCGGAGCAGGGAAGGAAATGAGCCACGCTGCTGAATCACTTCACAGGCTACTTTCTTCGCCTCCGGTGGGAGCTGCTGGATCAGGGACCCAGAACGCGGGGGAAAGACGCGGGGAGCAAGTCAAACTTTCAGAACAGCCCTGACTCCCGCTAGGCCCCCGCAGCGCCTGGCGGCCCTCGAGCAACCAAAGCCTTTCCTGCTCTCGGTTCGCGGGGCTTCGGTTTCCTCCCTCCGCGTTCCTCTCTCTCGCTTCTCCAGTCCAGGAAGAAACCGCCTCGAAGAAGGCAGGGTGAGTTTTCCTGCCCGCGCAGCTCACCCGAAGCGCCCGTTCACCCACACAGCCGCCTGCGGTTCAATCGATCCTCTGTCCAGCCTGCCTGCCTGCCTGTGTTCCCTGGCTGTTTCAGAAGAGCTTCGACTGAAGAAAAGAGGCAAATAGTTATTAAGGGAGGGAGACACCTGAGGGATGAGCCTAAAGAAGGGGAGGCCAAGAGGCGGGGCTTCCCAGCCGTCCTGCAAGGACTTGTCCCGAGCCGCGGAGACAGCCGTGCGCCGCCGCCGCCCAGCGCTCATCTCTGAAGGCGCGCATCAGCCCGGCGCAGTTCGCGTCTCCTGCTCAACCCTGGATCCCCAACACAAACCATCCGTTTTTAGATGTCTTTCCTGCTCCCAGATCTTCGCTGGGCAGCCCCATCCACCAAGGCTTATCTTCAGATTCCCCCAAAAGGCGTGTCTCCCAAAGTTACATTTTAATCTCTGCAGGCAATTTCCTTCTTTGGGAACCCCAGCTGGAAAATCCACTTCTTCTCATCCTCAGTTCCAGCCCAAACAAATTAATATCTAGTCAGAGGACAGGAGTACCGGAAAGGGAGGACGATAGGATTTCTCTGTTCTATTTTGAACTCAACCTACATGGAGCTGAATCTAGTTTTTGTTCTGCAGTTCAAAGAAAAGGTTTTCCATTGTAACATCTTTTGTTGTCATTGAATCAAAACTTGTCTTCCGGACAATTTTTTGACATTATCGGTAAGATTTGGAGGGAAGACATATTGCTGTCTCTTCAGATTTTAATTCCAGGTTGATGAGCAGAGGCGCTACTGCTTTGCGGATGAGGTCTGCTTTAGTGACAGAGTTCACGCTGTGCTAAGACATGGTTTGCTGAACAAGCCACAGTGGATAGGATCACACATGCCAAGTTGGGATCACGTAACACCTAAGCCAAAACCAAACGTATTGCATTATGGCTCAGCAGCCATCTATTTATGTGGTGGCTAAGAGTCAACAATGGCTTGATGGCATGCAATCATAATTATCAAGCTTTGGTGTGCCCAATGCACGGCTCACTCGTTTCCCCACCACCGCCACCACCCTCCCATCACACAGCCAAAATCTGGTGGCAAAACAGCTAATTTGAGAGCCAGTTGGTGTAGTGTTCAATTTGCTGCACTGCAAAGTGGGAGACTGGGATGTCTTATCCTTCCTTAGGCACAGAAACCAGCTGACTTTAGTCCAATTGCTCTCTCTCAGTCCAACCCACCTCCCAGGGTTGTTGTTGTGGGGAAAATAGAAGGAGGGAGCATTATGTATATTGCCTTAACCTGACAAACTAGAGGTGGGGCATACATAAATTTTAGCAGCAGTTTTTCCACATACATAGGCTTTTTATCTTATTCTGTTCCCTACCCTACCCCGCTGCCCAAAAGACAGACCAAATATTGGCCCTGCCCACCACCTTGACATCACTGGCCACTCCTCCTGGAGTCCTGAGACAAGGCAAAAAACAAAACCAGTGTGGACTCGTAAGCTTCTCTGCCTCTGGCTTAAGTCTAGGGAAGAACCAGTTTGTAGTGGATCCCATGGTCTGCATTCATTCAGAAAGTGCCTGAGTCTGAGAACTGGAAGAGGTGTGGGATACGTACTGCCAGATGGCACAATAATACATCTTCAGATAATATGCTGCATAAAAGGACCATCTTCTTTGCTTGACACTGTTCTGGCTAATTTTGCACTACAAGTTTGGGCTGAGGACATTCAGAGCAAGCTCAACAGAACCATTTTTTTAGCCAGCAGCGTAAGTAGGTGTAATCCCTGGGGAAAGGAAAAGCACAAAGAGAGCGTGTGATGCAACTGTTTTACTAGGAATACGTATCTGCCTACTTGGCCTTAGGTGGCCCATAGATTTTTTGATTCTGACCCACCTCCAAAGCCTCACCAACCCAACAGACTGAAATTAAATCAAAGAAGCTTTACTCATCACCTTAGTACTAAACAAGACATGACATTAAATATAACTTTGTTTCACAGGTACATTTCAAAAAATGAAATAGAAGGTCCTGGGGAAGGCTGATAATCATTGAGATCAACAGGTAGGAAAGGATGGTTTCATCCTCAAATCTCTCCCATTCAAATCTCTCCCATTCCTTGAATCTGTTATTTGCATTAGGAGAAAATCCTCTATTGTCATCAGTATATTTTATCCTGAGAAAAACAATTTCTTTAGGATTTTTAGAAGTAAGATTCTTTTTCCTCTGCCATAGCGAGAATATATGTAGTTTAAGGTTGAATTGTTGGGTTCTTGGCATTTTCTGAGGTCGCTTCTCTTCCTGCAGATGTTTCATTACTAGGCTAGGTAACACCGTCAGTGCATGGGGGAATAGAATTAGCTGGCTGCCTAAGTATGATAGCTTGGTTTACCAGTTTTGATGAGGAACATATGTTTAGACCTTGGCAAACAGACATCCTTCCTCATCACACAGCTATTAACCAACATCCAGATAAGTAGAACCATCACCAGATATTAGAACAATCACAGAAAAAAAACAATGCCCCACCCAAAAAGCTATCAAGGAAAAAAGAATCAAATTACCAGATATGAACAACTAGAAAACTCCTCCACCACCACCACCACCATCCTGCCCCATGCACTGATGATGGTTCCTAGTCTGGTAATGAAATGTCTTAATGAAACGAAGCAAGCTGTCTTCCTTTTATTACTAGGTTAGTGAATAAAAAATGATAGTTAACCAAAATATTTCAGTTCCACAATCTGAGTGTCCGTCTAATATAGAATTGGAAACCTATAGCCCTCCATTTGCTTCTGAAATACAGCTCCCAGCAGCCCTAACCAAGACATCCAATGAATAACCCAATCTTTTCAAGACTGGATTACTGTAATGTAATGTACATGGGCCTTTCCCATGAAGATAGTTCAGAAGTTTTGGCTGGCTCCAAATGTGGATGTCTTTATTGTATGATTTCACATTCCAGGAGTAAGATATTTTTATTGGTTACCAGTTAATCTGGGCTGCTTTGAAGTAATGAAGCTGCCTTTTAAGTCCCTACACTGACCTTCCCCAACCTGGTGCCCCCCAAACTTGTTAGGCAACAATTCCTGTAATGCCAAAAACAAAGGGAATTATAACCTAATATGGGTAGAAGATATTAGGATGGTGTTATGGTAATGAGTTGCTTCTCCTCAGCCTAGACAATTGGCCCGTTTTGATCAGTTAGCATATTCTGTAGTAATAGCTAATTGTCTGCAGATACTAGAGCCCATGGACCATTTGCATCCTTGGCAGATACTCTACCATTTAACATATCTTTCAGCATGTGAGATAATCAGCCAAAGCAACACTGCAAGTTCTCCATTGGTGGCAACAACTCTTCCACAGAAAGATCTCCAGGCACCCCTTGTTACTGGCTTTACATAGGCAGTGATGACTACAGTATTTGATTTTAATGAGCTTTCAGCTGTACTCAGTAAGTTTCTTTCTTACTACATGGGATAAAATATCACATTGCAGGAGCAGATTTCCTGCTTCCAGGACATTTTCCCCCTCTCCTATATCTTGCAGCCATCCTGAGGAGCCTTCAAACCTTGCTGTGGAGGGTCTCCCAAACTTTCAGAGCTGATTTTAAGGATGGAGGAAAGGACTGGCTCTTGGCCCAGTCCTGCTGCTGGAAGGTGAAAACCAGTCTTAGATTCCTCCCACTACATAGTTTTAATTTTCATAGGCTAGACTCAATAACTTTTAGTAAACAAGGCGTGGGGGTTCAAAATAAAACATAAATATCCTAAGTAAGCAGCTTGGTCTCTCATAATTCCTCTATTCAACCAATGTTCTGTAGTCCTTCTGAAAAAGATGGAAAGAGTTTCACTGCACTGTAAATCTATTATATTAAAGAAAAAGAAAGATAACTTTCTGAGCTTGGTTTAAAATTCTTGCAGAAGACTAGCAGCCAATTAGAGCATAATTTTTAAAAAGGGGAGGATCAGGATAAAGAGTAACAGATTACTGTTAAATATTAAAATGTAATGTGAGTTTTTGTTTTAAAAAATCAAGTTCAAGCCCACTCTGCACCTGATCTGGTTCCCACCTTTTCCTGGAAGAACCCATAGCTTGTGAACAAGCAGAAATTCCCAGGAAATCATGAGCAACTAAGAATACAGTAATGAGAGAAACAGCTGGAGGAGGAAAAAGAAAGTACGTGAGACATTAAACGGGTCAACAGCTATTGGCTGATCTTAACTTGGCTGTTAAGCTCAGCCAAGTTAGTTCCTGCTTCATAGAACTGTGGTTTTAATTTTATTTTTAACCTTGATTTCAAATTCAAGAAACATTCAACAGCTAAAGTGTAGCTCCAGCTAAGTTGGTCTGTTCAGCATTTCAGACAGGCAGACGTGACCTTTTTTAGGATGCTCTATTCCTTCTTCCCTAAACCCTACTTTTCTGTTCTTCCCCCAATCCTTGAAAAATTAGTCAGTACTTTGCAGCCCACACTCAGAACATACTCAGTGCTCACTGGGATTTTTTTGCAGGAATGTTGCCCTGTTATTATTTCTCCTTTTTGTAACCAGTCTTTTCCCAAGTGGTGCAGTTTGGGCCTAAATAATAGTCTCACTCCTGAAGTTGAAAGTAAAAAGGAACAGTAGAGATAACTTTGTTTGTTTATTGAATTTATATAGCCGCCCATCTCGCTTGCATGTGACTCTAGGCGGCGTACACAATTAAAACAAAACTGAACAATCAATATAATTTATCCATTAAACAGTTAAGATCAATTAAAAACCATCATGCTGAAGGAGCTTCCACATCACTGAAAACAACCTCAGCAGAATTCCTAGACCTGGGGCTTTCAAACTTCAATTCCCATAATCCTTCAGTCAGCCCAGCTACAGTACAATATAGCCAAATCCACCACTTCTTGCTGAAGCAGTGTTAAGCAAGTCTCTGCCTGTAGGATTTTGCAAAGCAGACATAACTGAATCTTTTCTCTTTTCAAAAGAAAAAGAAAAACCCGCCCTACACATAGAAAGCCAGCAGTTCAAAAGAAATAGATGAAGCCTAGCTTTTTCTTCTCACAAACAGGATAGGATTGGAAGTCATGGCA